GTGACCTCTGTATATCTTAATCTATATACGAGAGTGTTCTTAGGTTTGGGTGCTGTGTATCTTCTTTAATGTCAATTTGTATCTGAGTGTGTGTACGTGTTGTTGCGTTTGAAGAATAGAGTGCATAATATGAAATAACTAAATTTTGTTATAACTACATCCTTCTCATTTCAGCGTACGGAGTAGGAAGTACCACTCACCAAGAGCTTCATGGTGGAAGATGTTGGCTCGTCCAGTCAAGCTCCGTCTTATATACTTCCATTCTCTCTCTTTCCTCTCGCACTCCCAATGACCCCACTTTCTTCTCGTACCTAGTCCCTCTTGTTTTGTTTTTCTTTTCTTTTTTTCTTTCTTCTTTTTTTCCTTAAGGATTACCTTTATCCTATTGTGCTAACAGAACCTATGTATACTCATATATATATATACTGATTCATGCATGAAATGCATGTATTTATTTATATGAACATAAATAAATGCACACACACACACATATATATACACACATTTGTGTGTAGTGTATTTACGTATATATGTGCGTGTCTGTGTTTTGCATTATGTGTCATTTATTTCAAGTAAGGAAGGGGAAATCACAATTACGAAATGCGAGTTTAAAGTCATAAATACATACAGACCAATGGGCTATGTAAATTATGTAATTTCTTATTATTTTGAGATTGAAGATTTTGATGTTATATATAATTAGAATTGTTAATAATGATGACTCTGCGAACACCATTATAAATATTTCCACTTTTAGTGAACTAATACTTTGCTATTACTATTACAGCTGCTATTATTACTACTATTAGTATCTTTAGGTTTTAATTCCGATGCCATATATAATTAGAAATGTCACTAATACTGACTATTTGAACAACAATATCAATGTTTGTACTTTTATCTAACTGCTATTGCTGTTGTTGCTATTTCTGATATTTAAACAATAATAATTATTATAATAATAAAAGAAAACACAATCATGATAATGATATGACAGTAAAGATGATCATTATAAGTAAAATTGGCAATACCCACTATAAAATAAATATGATAACAGTAGTAAGATCAATAACAATGATAATATGAATAATAACAATAATAATAATAATAGCAATGATAACAAAAGTAATAGTTATAATAATCATAATAAAAATAATACCCTTAATACCATTTATAATAATGATGATAATAATAACAATACTATAATATGGATAATAATTATAATAATTAGAATTACATTGATTATTATTACTGTGAAATAAACCAGAATAAACTACAGTAACAAGAATGATTAAATCATCTCTAACAAAAACACGAAGGATAAATACAATAACGAAGATGGTTATGAAATAATTTTTACATTCGTAGCACGTCTTCAGTTTTGATGTATACAGATATTTGAATGAGGATCAATTGTAATGCGTATAAATACAATGATTCATTCACAGAAAGGCAACTATAATTTCACAATTATATTCATATGTCTATCAGTTTGTCTATAAATTTGTCTGTATATCATTTTATATATCTATCCATCCGTCTATTCATTCATCCCTCTCTATATACACACACACAAATTCACACAAATATACATATATATATACATATTTATATATTCCTTTATTCGATTATATATATATACATATATAATAATTTATTTATTCAATTATATATGTATATATATATATATATGTATATATATATATATATGTATATATATATATATATATATATATCCACAGAGTATATAGAGCTGACTCCTCATACACCCTAACGCGTTTTCCAGTATCGTACTGGGGTCACCCGTAGTGATTAATATATATATATATACATTATGCGAGTCTTTGTTTATCTGTTGTGTGTGTGTTTTGTGTGCTTTGTGTGTGTTTTTCTCCGTAGATGTGTTGATTTATAAATTCGTTTAGATTGATATATTTGTTATTTCAGAAATTTTTCTTTTCATATTTACATAATTTGGCAATCTTACTTTAATAAATGTAATTTATTTCATTAGATTTTCTGAGATATGAATTATATCCGCAAAATAAATGTTCTAATTTCTTTCGGTCTATCATTTCTTTTGTCATGAATTTTGAACCCACAAAGATTTGCAATGTCTTCTGAAAGAATTTAGCTACACAGCCTTTAAGTCCCTACAACATTCGTCTATTTATTTATTCATTTATTTTCGAGAAAAAAAAAACAAGTATAAACTTTTATATACATATATTTGGTAAGTTGTAAACAATAGTAATAAAATATTAACTGACTATATTGACATGATGGTAGGTATTGCATAGCATGGTGGAAATATTCCTTCCGTAATGTTTAAGGACCAGAATACAACGTGGATGAGGTACCAGCACTGCTTCCACTTCCTCCAAATCCTCCACTACTTCCTGCTCCACTTCCGCCAAAGCCTACACTTCCACCATCGAAACCTCCACTTACTCCACTTGTACTACCGAATCCTCCACTTCCACCACTACCGCCAAAACCACCTGCTCCACTGCCGCCAAATCCTCCATCGCCTCCAAAGCCACCTGATCCACTACCGCCAAATCCTCCATCGCCTCCAAAGCCACCTGCTCCTCCGGCGCCTCCGATCACTTGACCACCAGCACTAGCGGCAGCGTTAAGAGCAGTCTCGAGATCCACGCCAATAGGAAGAGTTGGGCTCTCTCCCTCTGCGTAGTTGACAAAGTAAACCTCGGGGTTGGTAGCTGGAGGAGCAGTAAGCAGTATTTCACAAAAAAAATTCCCCGGCGGCAATGGGTTAATATACCAATAAACTTTATGTGTGTTTATTGTGTGTATTACTTATCTTTATCTAATTATCTTTATTTCTGAAAAAAAGTAAATAATATCCTCTACATATATTTTATTTCTTTTTGTCTTCATCTTTCTTTTCACTCTCTCATGCCATGAATCTTCCTCATGTAAAGATTGTGATTGTAATGAATCTAGTGAAAGAATTTACCAGCAAAATAGAATTTATTATGCTAGTTCGTATGGCATTTATCTGTTTACTTTTTTCTAGAGAGAAGAAAACAAGTATAAACTTTGTATATAAGTATATATATTTGGTAAAAGTCATAAACAATAGTAATAAAATATCAACTGACCATACTGGCATCAAATGGAATCGTTCCTTTCTAGTATTTAAGGGCTGGAATATAAAGTGGATGGAGTACCAACACTGCTTCCGCTTCCTCCAAATCCTCCACTACTTCCTGCTCCACTTCCGCCAAAGCCACCGCTTCCTCCACTTACGCCACCGAAACCTCCACTTACTCCTCCTGCACCGCCGAATCCCCCACTTCCGCTTCCACTACCGCCAAATCCTCCATCGCCTCCAAAGCCACCTGATCCACTACCTCCAAATCCTCCATCGCCTCCAAAACCACCTGATCCACTACCTCCAAATCCTTCATCGCCTCCAAAACCACCTGCTCCACTACCGCCAAATCCTCCCTCGCCTCCAAAGCCACCTGATCCACTGCCGCCAAATCCTCCATCGCCTCCAAAGCCACCTGCTCCTCCGGCGCCTCCGATCACTTGACCGCCAGCACTAGCGGCAGCATTAAGAGCAGTCTCGAGATCCACGCCAATAGGAAGAGTTGGGTTCTCTCCCTCTTCGTAGTTGACAAAGTAAACCTCGGGGTTGGTAGCTGGAGGAGCAGTAACCTCGATTACTCGCTGGCCTCCTTCTCCATCGTTCTTGTTCAGGACATACACGATGTTCTCTTGCCTTGGTGGAGGAACGATGATGGGTTCAGGACCTGCTCCTCCTTCAGGAAGACGCACGAACAGAATGTTATGGTCAACTTTAGGTGGTGGGACACTTGGTGGTGGACCGCTTGGTTGCTGAGATTGCTCAGGAGCATCATACACAAACACATTTCTCGTGATTACAGGAACAACGCAAGATCCATCCACATGTAGGATCTCCCCATCTCGACACCCACCAGCGGGACCTCCAGATCCACCACCAAATCCACCACTGCTACTTCCACCAGACACTCCTACACCAGATATTCCACCATCACTTGAAAATCCTCCACCAGATATTCCACCATCACTTGAAAATCCTCCACCAGAGATTCCTCCGCTGCTTGAAAATCCTCCACCAGAGATTCCACCGCCACTGGAGAATCCTCCACCGGAGGCTCCGCCGCCACTAGAGAAGCCACTTTCAGATGAGTGACCTCCACCATGGGAAAATCCATCTCCCGATGGCGAGCCTAGATTGTAGCCTTGAGGTGCCGCGTAAGCTGCGACCACGATTGCCGAGAGAACCTTTAGAAAATACAATGGGATTCAATATATTTTGTAAGGGGATTATTTATATCATGTATTATTTTTTGCATTATGTGACCTCTGTATATCTTAATCTATATACGAGAGTGTTCTTAGGTTTGGGTGCTGTGTATCTTCTTTAATGTCAATTTGTATCTGAGTGTGTGTACGTGTTGTTGCGTTTGAAGAATAGAGTGCATAATATGAAATAACTAAATTTTGTTATAACTACATCCTTCTCATTTCAGCGTACGGAGTAGGAAGTACCACTCACCAAGAGCTTCATGGTGGAAGATGTTGGCTCGTCCAGTCAAGCTCCGTCTTATATACTTCCATTCTCTCTCTTTCCTCTCGCACTCCCAATGACCCCACTTTCTTCTTGTACCTAGTCCCTCTTGTTTTGTTTTTGTTTTTTTCTTTCTTCTTTTTTTCCTTAAGGATTACCTTTATCCTATTGTGCTTACAGAACCTATGTATACTTATATATACATATACTGATTCATACATAAAATGCATGTATTTATATATATGAACATAAATAAATGCACACACACACATATATACACACATTTGTGTGTAGGGTATTTACGTATATATGCGCGTGTCTGTGTTTTGCATTATGTGTCATTTATTTCAAGTAAGGAAGGGGAAATCACAATTACTAAATGCGAGTTTAAAGTCATAAATACATACAGACCAATGGGCTATGTAAATTATGTAATTTCTTATTATTTTAAGATTGAAGGTTTTGATGTTATATATAATTAGAATTGTTAATAATGATGACTCTGCGAACACCATTATAAATATTTCCACTTTTAATGAACTAATACTTTGCTATTACTATTACAGCTGCTATTATTACTACTATTAGTATCTTTAGCTTTTAATTCCGATGCCATATATAATTAGAAATGTCACTGATACTGACTATTTGAACAACAATATCAATGTTTGTACTTTTATCTAACTACTATTGCTGTTGTTGCTATTTCTGATGATATTTAAACAATAGTAATTATTATAATAATAAAAGAAAACACAATCATGATAATGATATGACAGTAAAGATGATGATCATTAAAAGTAAAATTGGCAATACCCATTATAAAATAAAGATGATAACAGTAGTAAGATCAATAACAATGATAATATGAATAATAACAATAATAATAATAATAGCAATGATAACAAAAGTAATAGTTATAATAATCATAATAAAAATAATACCCTTAATACCATTTATAATAATGATGATAATAATAACAATACTATAATAAGGATAATAATTATAATAATTAGAATTACATGGATTATTATTACAGTGATATAAACCAAAATAAACTACAGTAACAAGAATGATTAAATCATCTCTAACAAAAACACGAGGGATAAATACAATAACGAAGATGGTTATGAAATAATTTTTACATTCGTAGCACGTCTTCAGTTTTGATGTATACAGATATTTGAATGAGGATCAATTGTAATGCGTATAAATACAATGATTCATTCACAGAAAGCCAACTATAATTTCACAATTATATTCATATGTCTATCAGTTTGTCTATAAATTTGTCTGTATATCATTTCATCTATCTATCCATCCGTCTATTCATTCATCCCTCTCTATATACACACACACAAATTCACACAAATATACACATATATATATACATATTTATATATTCCTTTATTCGATTATATATATATACATATATAATAATTTATTTATTCAATTATATATGTATATATATATATATATATATATATATATATGTATATATATATATATATATATATATATATCCACAGAGTATATAGAGCTGACTCCTCATACACCCTAACGCGTTTTCCAGTATCGTACTGGGGTCACTCGTAGTGATTAATATATATATATACATTATGCGAGTCTTTGTTTATCTGTTGTGTGTGTGTTTTGTGTGCTTTGTGTGTGTTTTTCTCCGTAGATGTGTTGATTTATAAATTCGTTTAGATTGATATATTTGTTATTTCAGAAATTTTTCTTTTCATATTTACATAATTTGGCAATCTTACTTTAATAAATGTAATTTATTTCATTAGATTTTCTGAGATATGAATTATATCCGCAAAATAAATGTTCTAATTTCTTTCGGTCTATCATTTCTTTTGTCATGAATTTTGAACCCACAAAGATTTGCAATTAGTCTTCTGAAAGAATTTAGCTACACAGCCTTTAAGTCCCTACAACATTCGTCTATTTATTTATTCATTTATTTTCGAGAAAAAAAAACAAGTATAAACTTTTATATACATATATTTGGTAAGTTGTAAACAATAGTAATAAAATATTAACTGACTATATTGACATGATAGTAGGTATTGCATAGCATGGTGGAAATATTCCTTCCGTAATGTTTAAGGACCAGAATACAACGTGGATGAGGTACCAGCACTGCTTCCACTTCCTCCAAATCCTCCACTACTTCCTGCTCCACTTCCGCCAAAGCCTACACTTCCACCATCGAAACCTCCACTTACTCCACTTGTACTACCGAATCCTCCACTTCCACCACTACCGCCAAAACCACCCCTGCTCCACTGCCGCCAAATCCTCCATCGCCTCCAAAGCCACCTGATCCACTACCGCCAAATCCTCCATCGCCTCCAAAGCCACCTGCTCCTCCGGCGCCTCCGATCACTTGACCACCAGCACTAGCGGCAGCGTTAAGAGCAGTCTCGAGATCCACGCCAATAGGAAGAGTTGGGTTCTCTCCCTCTTCGTAGTTGACAAAGTAAACCTCGGGGTTGGTAGCTGGAGGAGCAGTAAGCAGTATTTCACAAAAAAAATTCCCCGGCGGCAATGGGTTAATATACCAATAAACTTTATGTGTGTTTATTGTGTGTATTACTTATCTTTATCTAATTATCTTTATTTCTGAAAAAAGTAAATAATATCCTCTACATATATTTTATTTCTTTTTGTCTTCATCTTTCTTTTCACTCTCATGCCATGAATCTTCCTCATGTAAAGATTGTGATTGTAATGAATCTGGTGAAAGAATTTACCAGCAAAATAGAATTTATTATGCTAGTTGGTATGGCATTTATCTGTTTACTTTTTTCTAGAGAGAAGAAAACAAATATAAACTTTGTATATAAGTATATATATTTGGTAAAAGTCATAAACAATAGTAATAAAATATCAACTGACCATACTGGCATCAAATGGAATCGTTCCTTTCTAATATTTAAGGGCTGGAATATAAAGTGGATGGAGTACCAACACTGCTTCCGCTTCCTCCAAATCCTCCACTACTTCCTGCTCCACTTCCGCCAAAGCCACCGCTTCCTCCACTTACGCCACCGAAACCTCCACTTACTCCTCCTGCACCGCCGAATCCCCCACTTCCGCTTCCACTACCGCCAAATCCTCCATCGCCTCCAAAGCCACCTGATCCACTACCTCCAAATCCTCCATCGCCTCCAAAACCACCTGATCCACTACCTCCAAATCCTTCATCGCCTCCAAAACCACCTGCTCCACTACCGCCAAATCCTCCCTCGCCTCCAAAGCCACCTGATCCCTGCCGCCAAATCCTCCATCGCCTCCAAAGCCACCTGCTCCTCCGGCGCCTCCGATCACTTGACCGCCAGCACTAGCGGCAGCATTAAGAGCAGTCTCGAGATCCACGCCAATAGGAAGAGTTGGGTTCTCTCCCTCTTCGTAGTTGACAAAGTAAACCTCGGGGTTGGTAGCTGGAGGAGCAGTAACCTCGATTACTCGCTGGCCTCCTTCTCCATCGTTCTTGTTCAAGATATACACGATGTTCTCTTGCCTTGGTGGAGGAACGATGATGGGTTCAGGACCTGCTCCTCCTTCAGGAAGACGCACGAACAGAATGTTATGGTCAACTTTAGGTGGTGGGACACTTGGTGGTGGACCGCTTGGTTGCTGAGATTGCTCAGGAGCATCATACACAAACACATTTCTCGTGATTACAGGAACAACGCAAGATCCATCCACATGTAGGATCTCTCCATCTCGACACCCACCAGCGGGACCTCCAGATCCACCACCAAATCCACCACTGCTACTTCCACCAGACACTCCTACACCAGATATTCCACCATCACTTGAAAATCCTCCATCAGAGATTCCTCCGCTGCTTGCAAATCCTCCACCAGAGATTCCACCGCCACTGGAGAATCCTCCACCGGAGCCTCCGCCGCCACTAGAGAAGCCACTTCCAGATGAGTGACCTCCACCATGGGAAAATCCATCTCCCGATGGCGAGCCTAGATTGTAGCCTTGAGGTGCCGCGTAAGCTGCGACCACGATTGCCGAGAGAACCTTTAGAAAATACAATGGGATTCAATATATTTTGTAAGGGGATTATTTATATCATGTATTATTTTTTGCATTATGTGACCTCTGTATATCTTAATCTATATACGAGAGTGTTCTTAGGTTTGGGTGCTGTGTATCTTCTTTAATGTCAATTTGTATCTGAGTGTGTGTACGTGTTGTTGCGTTTGAAGAATAGAGTGCATGATATGAAATAACTAAATTTTGTTATAACTACATCCTTCTCATTTCAGCGTACGGAGTAGGAAGTACCACTCACCAAGAGCTTCATGGTGGAAGATGTTGGCTCGTCCAGTCAAGCTCCGTCTTATATACTTCCATTCTCTCTCTTTCCTCTCGCACTCCCAATGACCCCACTTTCTTCTCGTACCTAGTCCCTCTTGTTTTGTTTTTGTTTTTTTTTTTCTTTCTTCTTTTTTTCCTTAAGGATTACCTTTATCCTATTGTGCTAACAGAACCTATGTATACTCATATATATATATATATTGATTCATGCATGAAATGCATGTATTTATTTATATGAACATAAATAAATGCACACACACACACATATATATACACACATTTGTGTGTAGTGTATTTACGTATATATGTGCGTGTCTGTGTTTTGCATTATGTGTCATTTATTTCAAGTAAGGAAGGGGAAATCACTATTACTAAATGCGAGTTTAAAGTCATAAATACATACAGACCAATGGGCTATGTAAATTATGTAATTTCTTATTATTTTGAGATTGAAGATTTTGATGTTATATATAATTAGAATTGTTAATAATGATGACTCTGCGAACACCATTATAAATATTTCCACTTTTAATTAACTAATACTTTGCTATTACTATTACAGCTGCTATTATTACTACTATTAGTATCTTTAGGTTTTAATTCCGATGCCATATATAATTAGAAATGTCACTGATACTGACTATTTGAACAACAATATCAATGTTTGTACTTTTATCTAACTACTATTGTTGCTATTTCTGATGATATTTAAACAATAATAATTATTATAATAATAAAAGAAAACTCAATCATGATAATGATATGACAGTAAAGAAGATGATCATTATAAGTAAAATTGGCAATACCCATTATAAAATAAAGATGATAACAGTAGTAAGATCAATAACAATGATAATATGAATAATAACAATAATGATAATAATAGCAATGATAACAAAAGTAATAGTTATAATAATCATAATAAAAATAATACCCATAATACCATTTATAATAATGATGATAATAATAACAATACTATAATAAGGATAATAATTATAATAATTAGAATTACATGGATTATTATCACTGTGATATAGACCAGAATAAACTACAGTAACAAGAATGATTAAATCATCTCTAACAAAAACACGAGGGATAATTACAATAACGAAGATGGTTATGAAATAATTTTTACATTCGTAGCACGTCTTCAGTTTTGATGTATACAGATATTTGAATGAGGATCAATTGTAATGCGTATAAATACAATGATTCATTCACAGAAAGCCAACTATAATTTCACAATTATATTCATGTCTATCAGTTTCTCTATAAATTTGTCTGTATATCATTTCATTTATCTATCCATCCGTCTATTCATTCATCCCTCTCTATATACACACACACAAATTCACACAAATATGCACATATATATATACATATTTATATATTCCTTTATTCGATTATATATATATATATACATTTATAATAATTTATTTATTCAATTATATATGTATATATATATATATATATATATATATATATATATATATTTATATATATATATATATATATATATATATGTATGTATATATATATATATATATATATATATATATCCACAGAGTATATAGAGCTGACTCCTCATACACCCTAACGCGTTTTCCAGTATCGTACTGGGGTCACCCGTAGTGATTAATATATATATATATATATATATATATATATATATATATATATATATATACATTATGCGAGTCTTTGTTTATCTGTTGTGTGTGTGTTTTGTGTGCTTTGTGTGTGTTTTTCTCCGTAGATGTGTTGATTTATAAATTCGTTTAGATTGATATATTTGTTATTTCAGAAATTTTTCTTTTCATATTTACATAATTTGGCAATCTTACTTTAATAAATGTAATTTATTTCATTAGATTTTCTGAGATATGAATTATATCCGCAAAATAAATGTTCCAATTTCTTTCGGTCTATCATTTCTTTTGTCATGAATTTTGAACCCACAAAGATTTGCAACTAGTCTTTTGAAAGAATTTAGCTACACAGCCTTTAAGTCCCTACAACATTCGTCTATTTATTTATTTATTTATTTTCGAGAAAAAAACAAGTATAAACTTTTATATATATATATATTTGGTAAGTTGTAAACAATAGTAATAAAATATTAACTGACTATATTGACATGATGGTAGGTATTGCATAGCATGGTGGAAATATTCCTTCCGTAATGTTTAAGGACCAGAATACAACGTGGATGGGGTACCAGCACTGCTTCCACTTCCTCCAAATCCTCCACTACTTCCTGCTCCACTTCCGCCAAAGCCTACACTTCCACCATCGAAACCTCCACTTACTCCACTTGTACTACCGAATCCTCCACTTCCACCACTACCGCCAAAACCACCTACTCCACTGCCGCCAAATCCTCCATCGCCTCCAAAGCCACCTGATCCACTACCGCCAAACCCTCCATCGCCTCCAAAGCCACCTGATCCACTGCCGCCAAATCCTCCATCGCCTCCAAAGCCACCTGCTCCTCCGGCGCCTCCGATCACTTGACCACCAGCACTAGCGGCAGCGTTAAGAGCAGTCTCAAGATCCACGCCAATAGGAAGAGTTGGGTTCTCTCCCTCTTCGTAGTTGACAAAGTAAACCTCGGGGTTGGTAGCTGGAGGAGCAGTAACCTCAATTACTCGCTGGCCTCCTGCTCCATCGTTCTTGTTCAGGACGTACACGATGTTCTCTTGCCTTGGTGGAGGAACGATGATGGGTTCAGGACCTGCTCCTCCTTCAGGAAGACGCACGAACAGAATGTTATGGTCAACTCTTGGTGGTGGGACACTTGGTGGTGGACCGCTTGGCTGCTGAGCTTGTTCAGGAGCATCATACAGGAAAACGTTTCTTGTGATCACAGGAACAACGCAAGATCCATCTACATGCAGGATCTCTCCATCACGGCACCCACCAGCGGGACCTCCAGCTCCACCAAATCCATCGCTGCTTCCACCGGAGAAACCTCCACCACTCACTCCACCACCACTTGAAAATCCTCCACCAGAGATTCCTCCGCTGCTTGAAAATCCTCCACCAGAGATTCCTCCGCTGCTTGAAAATCCTCCACCAGAGATTCCACCGCCACTGGAGAATCCTCCATCGGAGGCTCCGCCGCCACTAGAGAAGCCACTTCCAGATGAGTGACCTCCACCATGGGAGAATCCACCTCCCGATGGCGAGGCCAAATTGTAGCCTTGAGGTGCCGCGTAAGCTGCGACCGCGAGTGCCGAGAGTACCTTTAAGAAATACAATTGGAGTGAATATATTCTGTGAGGAGATTGTTTATATCATGTATTGTTTTTTTTGCATTATGTGACTTTTGTTTATCTGAATCTATAGATGTGAGTTCCTAATTTTGTGTGTCATGTATCTTATTTTATGTCAATTTGTATCTGAGTGCTCATCTGGTTGCGTGTGAATAGAGTGCATAGTATAAAGTAACTAAATTTTACTATAACTACATCCTTCTCATTTCAGCGTGCGGAGTAGGAAGTACCACTCACCAAGAGCTTCATGGTGGAAGATGCTGGATCGCGTAGTCAAGCTCCGCCTTATATACTTCCATTCTCTCTCTTTCCTCTCGCACCCCACGTGACCCCAATTTCTTCTCGTACCCAGTTCTTCACTTCGTTTTCTTACAGAACGTAGTGGGTATACGAAGAAAATACATTTGTAAGATTGATTTACTCTCATATGTCCTTTTTATATAGATATACTCAGCTAAATTGACATATACTGATTCATGTATAAACTACAGACATATATATATATATATATATATATAGAGAGAGAGAGAGAGAGAGAGAGAGAGAGAGAGAGAGAGAGATGAAAAATATATAAATAAACACAGGCACACACACACACATATGTATATATATGTTTATACATATACATATTTGTGTGTAGTGTATATGCGGTTCTCTGTGTGTGTGCTTCGTATTCTGTGTGGTTTATTTCAAATAAGGTATGGATATTTACAATCACAAAATGTAAGTTTATAGTCACAAATAAGTAGAGAGCAATAAGTATTTTATAGTATCTAAATATTGTTGCTTAATTTCTTACTATTTTTAGAATAGAGATTTTGATGCTACACATAATTAGAACCGTACTATATAGAACTATATAGGAACTTTAATATTGATATTACCACATTTAATGAACCAATGCTATTACTATTACTATTACTGCTATTATTACTATCACTGTCATTGGGATATAATTAGAAAGGTCAGTGATATTAACTATTTGAACAACCATATCAATGTTTTTACCATAAATGAACCCAGTTAATGATAATGCTACAACTATTAAAACTGGTCTTACTACTATTATGGCTATTACTACTACTACATCTGTTACTGCCACTGTAAATGATATGTAAACAGTAATAACATTAATGACAGTAATAGAAGAATAAAGATGATAATCATATTAATAGTTACATTGATGATACGCATAATAAAACATAAAGATAAGAATATTAGTTTCAATAATAATAAAGGTATAAATTTTAGTAAAAATAATAATAAGAATAATGATAACAATAATAATAGTAATAGTAATAGTAATAATAATAATAATAATAAAAACAATAACAGTAATAATAATGATAATTATTTTTATTGGTAGTAGTATTATAATAAAAAATACAATAATAATAATAGTAATAATAACAGCAATAATACCATGATAATGATAGTAATAATGATAACAATAATGAACATTGTATAGATTATTATTACCGCGATAGAGACCAGAATAAACTACAGTAACATCAATAAAATTACCTCTAAAAAAAAGAGTAATAATTACAATAACGAAGATGGTTATACAATAATTACTACGTTCCTAGCGCGTCTTCATGTATACAGTTATTTGAATCAAAACCTCTGTTGCATTCATTAAGTAAATGCAATATTTTCTTCGCATCGTACTCGTAACATGTATGAATACATTTATGCATTCCTAGAGAGCTAAATATAATTTCACAAATATGTTTATAGTTATGTCTATCAGCTTACCTATCATTTTATCGATCTTTTTATTCTATTTCAATCTATCTATCCATTTGTATATTTATCCACCTCTATATATATATATATATATAAATGTATGTACATATATGCATATATATGTATATATATATATATATATATATATATATATATATATACTCACACACAAGCGCACACACACACATTATATATATATATATATATATATATATATATATATATATATATATATATATATATTTATAGTTCATTCATTTATTTAATTATATATATATATATATATTATATATATATATATATATATATATATATATATATATACATACATATATATATATATATATATATATATATATATATATATATATATATATATATATATATGTATGTATGTATCCATGCACCCTAACGCGTATTTAGGTATGACACAAGGGCCTCCCATAGTGTCTAAAATATATATCAATATACATTATGTGTGCGTGCGTATGCGAATTTTGTCTGTTATAGCTTTATTTTAAAGTAAAATGCATACTCACCCAGCCATGCAAGTACAATGTGCTGCAATAACAGCGTCATCTTTCATATTCAGATGCACCCAGGGTGAAGGGGTACTTCGTTTAGTCTTTGCAACATCAACTTTCATTACGATAACATTTTTGCGTTTTGCATGATGATGCATCAGTATTCTCACCCGGCCACTGTTAAGTTGGTTATGTACCTCCAATATTTTTTAAATTTTCGAGGCTTCACGGGTGTAAATGTCGGGTGAATTAAGTAGATAGTCGTATATGTCAGACCATTCAAGGTTTGGCCACTTCGTTGGATCATTCCTCCAAGCAGTAAATATTTAGCTTTTACATCTCCTTTAGGTTCCTCACATCGGTATTAAGCCATGCTAGCAAAAGAACATACATTCTAAACTTGGAATTTCGAGCAAGATGGGAAACTTAACATTGCAGTATAGAGCGGACCTAGCAAAAAGTGTTTTATTGCAGCAATATTGACATGTGGTTTGTGACGTACCATGGGAAACATGCA